TCTAAAAGAGTTTTTGGGGGGGGAAAGGGAATTTGTCTAAGGCCCATGGGAAGAAAGTGGGCTGGGGAGGGCCCTGGCCCCATCGGGGAAAATGGCCCCTGGATTTTGTTTAAGGGCCCCCGGCAGGGGCCCCGGGAAATCTGGGCGGGCACAATTGGCCCAGGGTTGGGGGGTGGCCGGCAGGGATGTAGCTCTGTTGATAGAGCATGGTGTTTGCAACGCCAGGGTTGTGGGTTTGATTCCCACGGGGGGCCAGTATATAAAAAAAAATATATCTGGATAAGAGTGTCTGCTAAATGGACTAAAATGTAAAATTGACCAATTCGACACATTTGGCCAGACTTTATACAAAATAGTCCAGTATTGCAACACTTCACTGGATCAATCTGAAACTTTGTACACACACACTGCTGCCATCTAGTGGCCAAAATATAAACTGCGCCTACACTGCAATATTATTACATTCACATTTTAGTCATTTAGCAGACGCTCTTATCCAGAGCGACTTACAGTTAGTGAATACATCTTTTTATTTTATTTTTATACTGGCCCCCCGTGGGAATGAGCCCATGAGTCTCCCGGTCGCGGCCGGTTGCGACAGAGACTGGATTCGAACCAAGATCTCTAGTGGCACAGTTAGCACTGCGATGCAGTGCCTTAGACCACTGCGCCACTCAGGAGTACATTATATTGAGTATATTATATTGTGCATTTCAAAGATGAAAAAAAAAAAAATGAAATGGCATGTTTTTTTTGTTTGTATTATCTTTTACCAGATCTAATGTGTTATATTCTCCTACATTAATTTCACATTTCCAAAAACTTCAACGTGTTTCCTTTCAAAATGTATCAAGAATATGCATATCCTTGCTTCAGGTCCTGAGCTACAGGCAGTTAGATTTGGGTATGTCATTTTAGGCAAAAATTGGGAAAAAAAAGGGTCCGATCCTTACGAGGTTAATAAAATATACTTTAATATTCCATATGTGATGGAAACGTGTCTTCTGTCTTCCAACCCCTCCGATATATACAGCGCATATATAGCCAAGTTATAATAACTATCATCATTATCGTGCTAGCTGTGCCACTAGAGATCCTGGTTTGAATCCAGGCTCTGTCGTAGCCGGCCGCGACCGGGAGACCCATGGGGCGGCGCACAATTGGCCCAGTGTCGTCCAGGGTAGGGGAGGGAATGGCCGGCAGGGATGTAGCTCAGTTGGTAGAGCATGGCGTTTGCAACGCCAGGGTTGTGGATTCAATTCCCACGGGGGGTATGAAAAATAAAAAAATGATGTATGCATTCACTAACTGTAAGTCGCTCTGGATAAGAGCGTCTGCTAAATGACTAAAATGTAAATGTAAAATGTTACTCATTGCGTATTTATTATTACTTTACTAGTACGTGTTATTACTTTTTTGTTATTTCTCTATTTCCTTTCTCTCTGCATTGTTGGGAAGGGCCCGTAAGTAAGCATTTTACTGTTAGTCTACACCTGTGTTTTGCGAAGCTTGTGACCAATACATATTTTGATTTGATTTTACAAACAAACAGACAATTTGGTCATTCCTCTGAGGTGTCCCTCTTAGCAGGTGTTCCTAGCAGGGCTAAGTGTTCAGCATCACAGGAAAGTGTCTCTCTCTCTCTCTCTCTCTCTCTCTCTCTCTCTCTCTCTCTCTCCCTCTCTCTCTCTCTCTCTCTCTCCTCTCTCTCTCTCTCTCTCTCTCTCTCTCTCTCCCTCTCTCTCTCTCTCCCTCTAGGGGTGTGCTGCTATCGTCCATCCCCTGCTCTGCTTGGCTTTGTTCTGCCTGTTGTAAAACACACTGTGATCTGCTGCCTACTTTGATGACAGAGAGAAAGACAAGATGAGAGACAAAGGAGAGAGAGAGAGAGAGTAGAGGAGAGAGAAGAGAGAGAGAGAGAGAGAGGGGAATGAGGAGAGGCTGTCCTGTCAATGCTGCTGGAGGTCAATAAATCTGTGGCTCTAAGATAAAATGGGTAGCTAGGCCCAGAAGACATGCCTCAGCCTTGACCATCTGGGAAGTATTGTTGTTTTGCTGTAGTTAAGGTTCCAAGGTTCCGAGGTATTAAAGAAAGAGCTGCTTTTGATATGATCCCCTCTGAACAATAAACGACATGCATGACCAGAATGTATGATAGAGTACCATCAGAGAAAGAGAGAGAGTGAAGAAGAGAGAGAGAGAGAGAGAGAGAGGGAGAGAGAACATAGAGAGAGTAGAGGAGGAGGAGAGAGAGAGAGGAGAGAGAGAGAGAGAGAGAGGAGAGAGAGAGAGAGAGAGAGAGAGAGAGAGAGAGAAAAAGAAAGAGACATTTAAACAAGCTGAATCCAAACCATGGAGCAATGCTGCCGCCTATCTGTGGTTTCTAGGTAGCTCATTTAAATACAGAGTACATCAATCTAATATTTCCTTCTCTCACAGTATAGCCTAAACCTGCCCCTAAAAAAGCTCTAATTTCTAAGCAAGTGCTATGGATAAATGCTAGGGAAGATGAAAACCCACTGCTGAATGCTGCAGTTTGACACCTGTCACACCTATCAACTGGTCTAGTTATTATCAACCAAAGATGGAGAACTGCAGGGCCATTTCTCTGTATTTGTATTGAAACCACGGTTGATCAGATATCATTGGCATATCATGGATACATTTTGCAGTCTCAACTTTGTAAGTGATGTCATCTCAAACCGCAGTTATTCGCTGTGTTGCTGGCCCTTTAAATATCTGGAGTCGCCATAGTTACACATTCAGGAAATGGCAAATTCATTGGCAGCATGCCCACTGCTAGGCCTACAACGACGTCTAGAGCTGTTTTTACAGTAATTTCGCCGTCTGTAACCGAGGGGAAAACAGTTAACTCACAGTAAGCTAGGACATCGACACGTAGCAACCCTTGCTGTTCTATATTGACATCCAAAGGGAAGGAAAACGGTCCAACTGGTTAGCTAGCTAACGCCACAATCAGTGGTGAGTAGCTAACGTTAGCTAGCTTGCTAGCGTATGTTGCAAACGTTAGCTGGCTTGTCAGCTTTCTTTACAGTTGTCTTTTTCTTGCCAACCTGCCCCACTGTCTTCTATCTTTGCTGCAGCCACACATACGTAGTTGGTTCGCTGTCCATGGTGCTGAAGTTGATCATATTTCCATTGCAGCCATAAACCAAGGTTAGTGTTGTATGTTTTTCATAAAGCCATAAAAATGTAAATATCAGTTTGGTGATGTTTGAAAAATGGTGTGCATTGATTTTGATTTTATTAGGGTCCCCATTAGCCGACCTCAAGGGCACAGCTAGTCTTACTAGGGTCTGACACATAACACACAATACATTACAGACAAAAGACTACAATTTACTTATATTTAAAACATTAACGTGTGTGTGTGCGTGCCCACATCTATCAGTAACACATACAGTACCAGTCAAAAGTGTGGATACACCGACTCATTCAAGGGTTTTTCTTTATTTTTGTTCCATATTGACTGACCTTCATGTCTTAAAGTAATGATGGACTGGAATTTCTCTTTGCTCATTTGAGCTGTTCTTGCCATAATATGGACATGGTCTTTTACCAAATAGGGCTATCTTCTGTATACAACACAACACAACTGATTGGCTCAAACGCATTAAGAAAGAAATAACACAAATTAACTTTTAAGAAGGCACAACTGTTAATTGAAATGCATTCCAGGTGACTACCTCATGAAGCTGGTTGAGAGAATGCAAGAGTGTGCAAAGCTGTCATCAAGGCAAAGTGTGGCTATTTGAAGAATCTCAAATATAAAATATATTTTGATTTGTTTAACACTTTTTTGTTATTTCATAGTTTTGATGTCTTCACATGATTCTTCTGCTCAATCATCAGACGATTTTTCCTGATTCATCTGGAATTCCAGTTTTTTTTTTTTACATGTATCCAAATAGAAACAGATCTGGGCCCGGTTTCCCAAAAGCATCTTAAGGCTAAGTTTGGTTAATAAAAAAGTGGTCAGATGACACAGATGCTAAGCTACAGGACTGTTTTGCAAGCACAGACTGGAATATGTTCCGGGATTCTTCAGATTCTTCAGATGAGTACCCCACATCAGTCACCGGCTTCATCAATAAGTGCATCGATGACGTCGTCCCCACAGTGACCGTACGTACATACCCCAACCAGAAGCCATGGATTACAGGCAACATCCGCACTGAGCTAAAGGGTAGAGCTGCCGCTTTCAAGAAGCGGGACTCTAACCCGGAAGCTTATACCACCTTCCGGAGACATTTGAAACCCCACCTCTTTAAGGAATACCTGGGATAGGATAAAGTATTCCTTCTAACCCCCCCCCCCCCCCCCAAATTGTAAAGTGGTTATCCCACTGGCTATAGGGTGAACGCACCAATTTGTGAGTCGCTCTGGCTAAGAGCGTCTGCTAAATGACGTTAATGTGCCCTTGAGCAAGGCACTTAACCCTAATTGCTCCTGTGAGTCGCTCTGGTTAAGAGCGTCTGCTAAATGACTAAAATGTAAATGTAAATGTTATAAGAAATCCCGCTATGCCCTCCGATGAACTATCAAACAGGCAAAGAGTCAATACAGGACTAAGATTGAATCGTACTACACCGGCTCTGATGCTCGTCGGATGTGGCAGGGCTTGAAAACTATTACAGACTACAAAGGGAAGCACAGCCGCAAACTGCCCAGTGACACAAGCCTACCAGACGAGCTAAATCACTTCTATGCTCGCTTCGAGGCAAGCAACACTGAAGCATGCATGAGAGCATCAGCTGTTCCGGATGACTATGTGATCACACTCTCCGTAGCCGATGTGAGTAAGACTTTTAAGCAGGTCAACATTCACAAGGCCGCTGGGCCAGATGGATTAATAGGATGTGTACTCCGAGCATGTGCTGACCAACTGGCAAGTGTCTTCACTGACATTTTCAACATGTCCCTGACTGAGTCTGTAATACCAACATGTTTCAAGCAGACCACCATAGTCCCTGTGCCCAAGGACTCTAAGATAACCTGCCTAAATGACTGCCGACCCGTAGCACTTTGAAAGGCTGGTCATGGCTCACATCAACACCATTATCCCAGAAACCCTAGACCCACTCCAATTTGCATACCGCCCCAACAGATCCACAGATGATGCAATCTCTATTGCACTCCACACTGCCCTTTCCCACCTGGACAAGAGGAACACCTACGTGAGAATGCTATTCATTGACTGCAGCTCAGCGTTCAACACCATAGTGCCCTCAAAGCTCATCACTAAGCTAAGGATCCTGGGACTAAACACCTCCCTCTGCAACTGGATCCTGGACTTCCTGACGGGCCGCCCCCAGGTGGTAAGGGTAGGTAATAACACGTCTGCCACGCTGATCCTCAACACGGGTGCCCCTCAGGGGTGCATGTCCAGTCCCCTCCTGTACTCCCTGTTCACCCATGACTGCATGGCCAGGCACGACTCCAACACCATCATTAAGTTTGCAGACGACACAACAGTGGTAGGACTGATCACCGACAACGATGAGACAGCCTATAGGGAGGAGGTCAGAGACCTGGCCGTGTGGTGCCAAGATAACAACCTCTCCCTCAACGTGTTTAAGACAAAGGAGATGTTTGTGGTCTACAGGAGAAAAAAAAAGAGGACTGAGCACGCCCCCATTCTCATCGACGGGGCTGTAGTGGAACAGGTTGAGAGCTTCAAGTTCCTTGGTGTCCACATCACCGACTAACTATCATGGTCCAAACACACCAAGACAGAGGGTAGTGCGTACGGCCAATACATAACTGGGGTCAAGCTTCCTGCCATCCAGGACCTCTATACCAGGCGGTGTCAGAGGAAGGCCCTAAAAATTGTCAAAGACTCAAGCCACCCTAGTCATACACTGTTCTCTCTGCTACCACACGGCAAGCGGTACCGTAGCGCGAAGTCTAGGTCCAAAAGGCTTCTCAACAGCTTCACCCCCAAGCCATAAGACTCCTGAACAGCTAATCATGGCTAGCCGGACTATTTGCACCCCCACCCCCTCTTTTACGCTGCTGCTACTCTGTTTACTATTTATGCATAGTCACTTTAACTCTACCCACATGTACATATGACCTCAATTACCTCGACTAACCGGTGCCCCCGCACATTGACTCTGTACCGGTACCCCCTGTATATAGCCTCCCTACTGCTATTTTATTTTACTGCGGCCCTTTAGCTATTTGCTTTTATTTTTAGATTTTTCTTAATTAACACTTTATTTTAAATTTTTCTTTAAAAATTGCATTGTTTGTTAAGGGCTTGTAAGTAACCATTTGACTGTAATGTCTACACCTGTTGTATTCGGCGCATGTGGCAAATACAATTTGATTTGATTAGATCATTAGAACCTTCGTAGGAGCATAGTTAAATCTCAGAGCCACTATTTACGTTGCACTTGAAAACGGTCGTATTCTAACGCCTTCCTCAGACCACTCGTAGAACAGATAAGTGCATCGTTAGATGCTTTTATACACAGAATATCTCTGCTAAATATAGAATCACATGGTTTATCCGTCTCTTTGTGACAGCCGATAACTTCAGAACAAAGTTCACTACAAAATAAAAAGCTGCCAATGTCTTTGGAATTGATACAAACAAGCGACGTATAAAATGATGCTTCTAATGAAAACCGAGATGAGCAGTACCCTAGGCTATAGTCCTATTTCAAACATATTGAAATACATTTCATGTTCAATCAACTGAGTTCTATATCTATCTGTAATTTTTCTCAATATATTTCATGCTGTGTAGCCTAACGTGCACACAATGATGTGCCAAATCGGTGATTTAGTGCATTTGTTTTTGGGTAAGCATTAGAATAAGCCGCCTCAACATTTTGCAGCTCAAAACGTTTTGGGACGGTGACACATTTTGTGTTGATTTGGCTCTGTACTCCAGCACTTTGGATTTGAAATGATACAATGACTATGATGTTAACATGCATACTGTCAAGGGTTAATTTGAGGGTATTTTCATCCATATCGGGTGAACCGTTTACAGTACTTTTTGTACATAGTCTCCCCATTTTAGGGGACCAAAAGTATTGGGACAAATTCACTTATGTGTATTAAAGTAGTCAAAAGTTTAGTATTTGGTCCCATTTTCATAGCACACAATGGTTACAACAAAATTGTGACTCTACAAACTTGTTGAATGCATTTGCTGTTTGATTTGGTTGTGTTTCAGATTATTTTGTGCCCAATATAAATGAATGGTAAAATAATGTATTTTATCATTTTGGAGTCATGTTTCTAAACACTTCTACATTAATGTGGATGCTACCATGGTTACGGATAATCCTGAAAGCATTGTGAATTATGATGATTGAGAAAGTTAGAGGCATAAATATCATTCCCCCCAAAAAATGCTAACCTCCCCTGTCCCCTGTCCCCTACCCAAAATCCTAGGGTGTATTCACTAGGAACCAAGCTGAAGCAAACGGAACGAAACTAGGAGGGACCTAAATACATGAATTAACCTCCCGAGTGGCGCAGTGGTCTAAGGCACTGCATCGCAGTGCTAGCTGTGCCACTAGAGATCCTGGTTCGAATCCAGGCTCTGTCGTAGCCGGCCGAGACCGGGAGACCCATGGGGCAGCGCGCAATTGGCCCAGCGTCGTCCAGGGTAGGGGAGGGAATGGCCGGCAGGGATTTAGCTCAGTTGGTAGAGCATGGCGTTTGCAACGCCAGGGTTGTGGGTTCGATTTTTTATTTAATTTTTTAAAAAATAAATAATGTATGCACTAACGGTAAGTCGCTCTGGATAAGAGCGTCTGCTAAATGACTAAAATGTAAAATGTAATGAATTTGTCCAACAGAAACTCTCTTTTGTTGCAAAACGTTTTACTACAGTGTTTGACTAATGAATACACCCATGGTTTCCCTGCTTTTCTAGCTTGTCCTCCTCACCACGTCCCTGATTATATTGTAGCCTCGACCGGGACTTGAACCCAGGTCCAGTGACAGTCAACTCAACACCTTAGCCGTCAAGCCAAGAGATCCAAACCTCTTGATGAGGTCGTAAGGTGTTGGGTTAAGGTCCCTACAGTTAAGGATTGTTGCTTGATTCTGCTGCTGAGTCCTTTCTCAACAGGAGTATTAATATGGGTGTCAACACTGTCCCCATGTACTGATCACATCCCTGCTCTTCCAACAGGAGTAGCTAATAATATGAGCGTCAACACTGTCCCCTGTACTGTGAAGCCTGCTGTCACCCTGCAGATTGAAGATGCTAAGACTGATTCAAGTCGTCCCGGTGTCTATGTCGTAGATGTTACACTTCCTATAGGACAGACTGTCAACGTGAGTCGATAAAACCTGATTCCTTTTCATACACAGTTTTTTTTCTCTCCACACACTTGGTAAAATGAGGCTATGTGAAGTAGGCTATTTTCTTTGGAAGTGAGTCACTTTGAAATCTTCTCTGAAGCTCAAAGTAGTTTCCTTCGAGGCCCAGCTTTTCTAGCGATAACAAGCCTGGTATTCTAGTGGTTTCAGAACAACTATCTATTCCTACAACTTTCAAGCTAGACATGATTGCCACTCAACCATTGTCCACATACAGTAACATACATCTAATCTGTGTCTTCATCACCCCTCCTAGATCCAGGAGATCTCCTTTAAGAACTACTACACAGCATACTTGTCTATGCGTCTACTGAGGAGAGATGGGGAGGGGGCAGCTAAGTGGGCTACATGTCTGAGGAACCACTGTTTGATGCCCAGCCCACATACTGAAGAGGGTTCACAAGACTACGTCTCTGTCTACAGACAACAGGTTAGGGGAGGGGGGAGGGAGGGAGGGAGGGAGAGATGGAGAAATGGAGAGGGAGTGAGGGGGGAGGGGGGTGGGTGGTTTAATGATAAAAGGTGGTAAAGATCATATAAGATGGAGGGAGGGAGGGAGAAGGACTACGTCTCTGTCTACAGACAGCAGGTTAGGGGAGGGAGGGAGGGAGAAGGACTACGTCTCTGTCTACAGACAGCAGGTTAGGGGAGGGGGGGAGGGAGGGAGGGAGAAGGACTACGTCTCTGTCTACAGACAGCAGGTTAGGGGAGGGAGGGAGGGAGAAGGACTACGTCTCTGTCTACAGACAGCAGGTTAGGGGAGGGAGGGAGGGAGGGAGAAGGACTATGTCTCTGTCTACAGACAGCAGGTTAGGGGAGGGGGGGAGGGAGGGAGGGAGGGAGAAGGACTACGTCTCTGTCTACAGACAGCAGGTTAGGGGAGGGAGGGAGGGAGGGAGGGAGGGAGAAGGACTACGTCTCTGTCTACAGACAGCAGGTTAGGGGAGGGAGGGAGGGAGGGAGAAGGACTACGTCTCTGTCTACAGACAGCAGGTTAGGGGAGGGGGGGAGGGGGGGAGGACTACGTCTCTGTCTACAGACAACAGGTTAGGGGAGGGGGGGGAGGGAGGGGGGGAGGGAGAAGGACTACATCTCTGTCTACAGACAGCAGGTTAGGGGAGGGAGGGAGGGAGGGAGAAGGACTACGTCTCTGTCTACAGACAGCAGGTTAGGGGAGGGAGGGAGGGAGGGTGGGAGAAGGACTACGTCTCTGTCTACAGACAGCAGGTTAGGGGAGGGGGGAGGGAGAAGGACTACGTCTCTGTCTACAGACAGCAGGTTAGGGGAGGGAGGGAGGGAGGGAGGGTGGGAGAAGGACTACGTCTCTGTCTACAGACAGCAGGTTTAGGGGAGGGAGGGAGGGAGGGAGGGAGAAGGACTATGTCTCTGTCTACAGACAGCAGGTTAGGGGAGGGAGGGAGGGAGGGAGGGTGGGAGAAGGACTACGTCTCTGTCTACAGACAGCAGGTTAGGGGAGGGGGGGAGGGAGAAGGACTACGTCTCTGTCTACAGACAGCAGGTTAGGGGAGGGAGGGAGGGAGGGTGGGAGAAGGACTACGTCTCTGTCTACAGACAGCAGGTTAGGGGAGGGGGGGAGGGAGAAGGACTACGTCTCTGTCTACAGACAGCAGGTTAGGGGAGGGAGGGAGGGGGAGGGTGGGAGAAGGACTACGTCTCTGTCTACAGACAGCAGGTTAGGGGAGGGGGGGAGGGAGAAGGACTACGTCTCTGTCTACAGACAGCAGGTTAGGGGAGGGAGGGAGGGAGGGAGGGTGGGAGAAGGACTACGTCTCTGTCTACAGACAGCAGGTTAGGGGAGGGAGGGAGGGAGGGAGGAAGGGAGGGAGGGAGGGAGGAGGACTACGTCTCTGTCTACAGACAGCAGGTTAGGGGAGGGAGGGAGGGAGGAGGACTATGTCTCTGTCTACAGACAGCAGTACAGGTAAGACATTAGGAGGTGTATTCTGATGACGGCTTTATTTCTACATCTGGCTAAAATATTCATCACCAAATGCTCCTGAGCCATTTCATATGGAATCTTAAGAAACCTTGATGTGATATGAGTGACAATGCATTTGCATTATGTAAATGTATCTTCTTTTTTTAAATAAAGGATCACAGCTCAGGTTTGCTTAATTTTTTAAAAGTTAATCTTGGAGGTAAACCAAATTATAGTTTGGCTTTCTTCAAGTAGCTGTTAAGCTAATTTACATGACTTGTGGAAGCCATGTTTCCTGATTAGTTCAGTATGGGTGTTTGATGTGGAAACCATATTTCCTGATTAGTTCAGTATGTGTGTTATGGTTGTTAGATGCTGATGGAGCCAGATAATGTGTTATGGTTGTTAGATGCTGATGGAGCCAGATAATGTGTTATGGTTGTTAGATGCTGATGGAGCCAGATAATGTGTTATGGTTGTTAGATGCTGATGGTGTGTTATGGTTGTTAGATGCTGATGGAGCCAGATAATGTGTTATGGTTGTTAGATGCTGATGGAGCCAGATAATGTGTTATGGTTGTTAGATGCTGATGGAGCCAGATAATGTGTTATGGTTGTTAGATGCTGATGGAGCCAGATAATGTGTTATGGTTGTTAGATGCTGATGGAGCCAGATAATGTGTTATGGTTGTTAGATGCTGATGGAGCCAGATAATGTGTTATGGTTGTTAGATGCTGATGGAGCCAGATAATGTGTTATGGTTGTTAGATGCTGATGGAGCCAGATAATGTGTTATGGTTGTTAGATGCTGATGGAGCCAGATAATGTGTTATGGTTGTTAGATGCTGATGGAGCCAGATAATGTGTTATGGTTGTTAGATGCTGATGGAGCCAGATAATGTGTTATGGTTGTTAGATGCTGATGGAGCCAGATAATGTGTTATGGTTGTTAGATGCTGATGGAGCCAGATAATGTGTTATGGTTGTTAGATGCTGATGGAGCCAGATAATGTGTTATGGTTGTTAGATGCTGATGGAGCCAGATAATGTGTTATGGTTGTTAGATGCTGATGGAGCCAGATAATGTGTTATGGTTGTTAGATGCTGATGGAGCCAGATAATGTGTTATGGTTGTTAGATGCTGATGGAGCCAGATAATGTGTTATGGTTGTTAGATGCTGATGGAGCCAGATAATGTGTTATGGTTGTTAGATGCTGATGGAGCCAGATAATGTGTTATGGTTGTTAGATGCTGATGGAGCCAGATAATGTGTTATGGTTGTTAGATGCTGATGGAGCCAGATAATGTGTTATGGTTGTTAGATGCTGATGGAGCCAGATAATGTGTTATGGTTGTTAGATGCTGATGGAGCCAGATAATGTGTTATGGTTGTTAGATGCTGATGGAGCCAGATAATGTGTTATGGTTGTTAGATGCTGATGGAGCCAGATAATGTGTTATGGTTGTTAGATGCTGATGGAGCCAGATAATGTGTTATGGTTGTTAGATGCTGATGGAGCCAGATAATGTGACTTCAGTGAGACTGATCCTGCGACAGCCTTCGTCAGCCTGGCTGAATTTCAGTGTGGAGGAGATTAAACTACACCCCTGTTTAAATGAGGTAAGTCACTGAAAAATGTATAGAGGGTTGTCCTGTATGATCAAATAGAAAGAAAACATGATCAATGTGCCTCTGATCATCAGGCCTGCAGCATAACTGTCTTAAGGTTGGGGGTACTGAGTAGTGGAGTTGAGAAACACTGCCGTTGAAGTTATTTCCACAATAAAGTGCATTCATTCACTCTCTCTCTTCTTCCAGGATTCAGAGTGGGACATTCCTGATTGGTTGTCAGACCTCACACAGGTTGACCAACTGTGTGATTTACAGGTAAGGCTCTTATCAACCAGTTGGTTCTCTTCAATATAACTTTATAACTATCAGCCCTTTTAGACTGGATTCCAGTATTCTAACTCCTACACAGCTTCCTTTGGGATCCCTCGTAGTCAAGTATGATTTCCCTCCAGTTTTCACAGGTCTGGCTGGCCGGCCATGGCTGAATAGGCCAATCTGTGACCTGCAGATCTTGTCTCAGTGGGGGCGGATCTTTTACGTAATTTAGCAGACGCCGTTATCCAGAGCGACTTACAGTAGTGAGTGCATACATTTTCATACTGGTCCCCCGTGGGAATCGAACCCACAACCCTGGCGTTGTAAGCGCCATGCTCTACCAACTGAGCTACACGGGACTACTTGTCTCAGTGGGGGCAGGGATGGTCAGATCTTGTCTCGGTGGGGTCAGGGATGGTCAGATCTTGTCTCAGTGGGATCAGGGATGGTCAGATCTTGTCTCAGTGGGGTCAGGGATGGTCAGATCTTGTCTCAGTGGGGTCAGAGATGGTCAGATCTTGTCTCGGTGGGGTCAGGGATGGTCAGATCTTGTCTCGGTGGGGTCAGGGATGGTCAGATCTTGTCTCAGTGGGGTCAGGGATGGTCAGATCTTGTCTCAGTGTGGCAGAGATGGTCAGATCTTGTCTCAGTGGGGGCAGGGATGGTCAGATCTTGTCTCAGTGGGGGCAAGGATGATCAGATCTTGTGTCAGTGGGGGCAAGGATGGTCAGATCTTGTCTCATTGGGGGCAGGGTAGTTCATCCTATCGCTTTTCCCAGCTAGTAGTTTTCTTCTTTCTGCCAGGAAGAGTTGTGTTCCATTGATGATTTTGGTACTCCATGAGGATCTGTCAAGGACATGGGTTTACCTATTGTTAGGATCCCTATGGCTTTTCTTCAGGTGTGCTTTGAGGTTGTCACGGAAACACTTCTTCTGACCTCCAGGGGCACGGATTCCATCTTTGAGCTGGGAGTAGGAGACGTTTTTGGGAAGCCTTGAGTTGCTTATCCTTGCGAGGTGACCTGCCAATCGGAGTTGAGGTTTCATAATGGTGGCTTCCACACTGGAGGAGTTGGTTCTCTCCAGGACACTGATGTTTGGTTGTCTGTCTTCCCAGCTGATGTTCTGTATCTTCCTGAGGAGTTGGTTCTCTCCAGGACACTGATGTTTGGTTGTCTGTCTTCCCAGCTGATGTTCTGTATCTTCCTGAGGAGTTGGTTCTCTCCAGGACACTGATGTTTGGTTGTCTGTCTTCCCAGCTGATGTTCTGTATCTTCCTGAGGAGTTGGTTCTCTCCAGGACACTGATGTTTGGTTGAATGTCTTCCCAGCTGATGTTCTGTATCTTCCTGAGGAGTTGGTTCTCTCCAGGACACTGATGTTTGGTTGGATGTCTTCCCAGCTGATGTTCAGTGTCTTCCTGAGGAGTTGGTTCTCTCCAGGACACTGATGTTTGGTTGTCTGTCTTCCCATCTGATATTCAGTATCTTCCTGAGGAGTTGGTTCTCTCCAGGACACTGATGTTTGGTTGTCTGTCTTCCCATCTGATGTTCAGAATCTTCCTGAGGAGTTGGTTCTCTCCAGGACACTGATGTTTGGTTGTCTGTCTTCGCAGCTGATGTTCAGTATCTTCCTGAGGAGTTGGTTCTCTCCAGGACACTGATGTTTGATTGTCTCTCTTCCCAGCTGATGTTCAGTGTCTTCCTGAGGAGTTGGTTCTCTCCAGGACACTGATGTTTGGTTGTCTGTCTTCCCATCTGATGTTCAGTATCTTTCTGAGGAGTTGGTTCTCTCCAGGACACTGATGTTTGGTTGTCTGTCTTCGCAGCTGATGTTCAGTATCTTCCTGAGGAGTTGGTTCTCTCCAGGACACTGATGTTTGATTGTCTCTCTTCCCAGCTGATGTTCAGTATCTTCCTGAGGAGTTGGTTCTCTCCAGGACACTGATGTTTGGTTGTCTGTCTGTCTTCCCATCTGATGTTCAGTATCTTCCTGAGGAGTTGGTTCTCTCCAGGACACTGATGTTTGGTTGGATGTCTTCCCAGCTGATGTTCTGTATCTTCCTGAGGAGTTGGTTCTCTCCAGGACACTGATGTTTGGTTGTCTGTCTTCCCAGCTGATGTTCTGTATCTTCCTGAGGAGTTGGTTCTCTCCAGGACACTGATGTTTGGTTGTCTGTCTTCCCAGCTGATGTTCTGTATCTTCCTGAGGAGTTGGTTCTCTCCAGGACACTGATGTTTGGTTGAATGTCTTCCCAGCTGATGTTCTGTATCTTCCTGAGGAGTTGGTTCTCTCCAGGACACTGATGTTTGGTTGGATGTCTTCCCAGCTGATGTTCAGTGTCTTCCTGAGGAGTTGGTTCTCTCCAGGACACTGATGTTTGGTTGTCTGTCTTCCCATCTGATATTCAGTATCTTCCTGAGGAGTTGGTTCTCTCCAGGACACTGATGTTTGGTTGTCTGTCTTCCCATCTGATGTTCAGAATCTTCCTGAGGAGTTGGTTCTCTCCAGGACACTGATGTTTGGTTGTCTGTCTTCGCAGCTGATGTTCAGTATCTTCCTGAGGAGTTGGTTCTCTCCAGGACACTGATGTTTGATTGTCTCTCTTCCCAGCTGATGTTCAGTGTCTTCCTGAGGAGTTGGTTCTCTCCAGGACACTGATGTTTGGTTGTCTGTCTTCCCATCTGATATTCAGTATCTTCCTGAGGAGTTGGTTCTCTCCAGGACACTGATGTTTGGTTGTCTGTCTTCCCATCTGATGTTCAGAATCTTCCTGAGGAGTTGGTTCTCTCCAGGACACTGATGTTTGGTTGTCTGTCTTCGCAGCTGATGTTCAGTATCTTCCTGAGGAGTTGGTTCTCTCCAGGACACTGATGTTTGATTGTCTCTCTTCCCAGCTGATGTTCAGTGTCTTCCTGAGGAGTTGGTTCTCTCCAGGACACTGATGTTTGGTTGTCTGTCTTCCCATCTGATGTTCAGTATCTTTCTGAGGAGTTGGTTCTCTCCAGGACACTGATGTTTGGTTGTCTGTCTTCGCAGCTGATGTTCAGTATCTTCCTGAGGAGTTGGTTCTCTCCAGGACACTGATGTTTGATTGTCTCTCTTCCCAGCTGATGTTCAGTATCTTCCTGAGGAGTTGGTTCTCTCCAGGACACTGATGTTTGGTTGTCTGTCTGTCTTCCCATCTGATGTTCAGTATCTTCCTGAGGAGTTGGTTCTCTCCAGGACACTGATGTTTGGTTGGATGTCTTCCCAGCTGATGTTCTGTATCTTCCTGAGGAGTTGGTTCTCTCCAGGACACTGATGTTTGGTTGTCTGTCTTCCCAGCTGATGTTCTGTATCTTCCTGAGGAGTTGGTTCTCTCCAGGACACTGATGTTTGGTTGTCTGTCTTCCCAGCTGATGTTCTGTATCTTCCTGAGGAGTTGGTTCTCTCCAGGACACTGATGTTTGGTTGAATGTCTTCCCAGCTGATGTTCTGTATCTTCCTGAGGAGTTGGTTCTCTCCAGGACACTGATGTTTGGTTGGATGTCTTCCCAGCTGATGTTCAGTGTCTTCCTGAGGAGTTGGTTCTCTCCAGGACACTGATGTTTGGTTGTCTGTCTTCCCATCTGATATTCAGTATCTTCCTGAGGAGTTGGTTCTCTCCAGGACACTGATGTTTGGTTGTCTGTCTTCCCATCTGATGTTCAGAATCTTCCTGAGGAGTTGGTTCTCTCCAGGACACTGATGTTTGGTTGTCTGTCTTCGCAGCTGATGTTCAGTATCTTCCTGAGGAGTTGGTTCTCTCCAGGACACTGATGTTTGATTGTCTCTCTTCCCAGCTGATGTTCAGTGTCTTCCTGAGGAGTTGGTTCTCTCCAGGACACTGATGTTTGGTTGTCTGTCTTCCCATCTGATGTTCAGTATCTTTCTGAGGAGTTGGTTCTCTCCAGGACACTGATGTTTGGTTGTCTGTCTTCGCAGCTGATGTTCAGTATCTTCCTGAGGAGTTGGTTCTCTCCAGGACACTGATGTTTGATTGTCTCTCTTCCCAGCTGATGTTCAGTATCTTCCTGAGGAGTTGGTTCTCTCCAGGACACTGATGTTTGGTTGTCTGTCTGTCTTCCCATCTGATGTTCAGTATCTTCCTGAGGAGTTGGTTCTCTCCAGGACACTGATGTTTGGTTGGATGTCTTCCCAGCTGATGTTCTGTATCTTCCTGAGGAGTTGGTTCTCTCCAGGACACTGATGTTTGGTTGGATGTCTTCCCAGCTGATGTTCAGTGTCTTCCTGAGGAGTTGGTTCTCTCCAGGACACTGATGTTTGGTTGTCTGTCTTCCCATCTGATGTTCAGTATCTTCCTGAGGAGTTGGTTCTCTCCAGGACACTGATGTTTGGTTGTCTCTCTTCCTATCTGATGTTCAGTATCTTCCTGAGGAGTTGGTTCTCTCCAGGACACTGATGTTTGATTGTCTCTCTTCCTAGCTGATGTTCAGTATCTTCCTGAGGAGTTGGTTCTCTCCAGGACACTGATGTTTGATTGTCTGTCTTCCAGTATCTTCCTGAGGCAGTGTTGGTGAAAGGGACTTGATGTGTTTGCGATAAACGTTTCAAGTTTCAGTGCCGTATAGCAGGGTAGGAATAAGTTTACCAAAGGCAGAACTAGCTGGAGCAATCCGATGTTGGATTTCATCATCGATTAGGATATTGCTAGAGAGGTGGCTACCTAGGTATGGGAAACTGGGCACGTTTTCAAGCATTACATTTTTGGCTGGGATCTAGGTGGGTGACCGGTGTGCTCCCGGAGCTTGCTGGAATATGATCTTAGTTTTACTTGTATTGAGTGTTAGACCCATCCTTCTGTATGCTTCTGGGAATATGTTGACGATGGCCTGGAGGTCAGCTTCTGAGCAGTCATTGACTTGGGCATCAAGTGACTGCATACTGAAATTCTACAACAGAAGTGGTTGTGGTTCTTGACTTGGCTCTGAAATGGTTGATATTGAACATGTTCCCGTCTGTCCTGTAGGTGATATACATGCCTCTGGGTCTACTCTGTCAGGTAGATCCTTCCAGCCAGGAAGATGGTGAAGAGAGTTGGTGCGGTGATGCAGCCTTGCTTTAATCTGCTCCTCATCTCGATTGACTCTGTGGTTTCGCCACCAGAGAGAATGACAGCATTCATACCCTCATGCAGGAAGTGGAGGATGTTTTAACACATTTTGTAGGGCGGACATATCTTCGGGAGGATTCTCCACAGGGCTTCACGGTTAACAGAGTCAAAGGCCTTGGTCAGATTGAAGAAGGCCATGTATAGCTGTAGTCTTTGCTCCTGGCACTTCTCTTTGCGTTAACGGGCTGAATTTCCTCTGCTGGGTTGAAAGCCACAGTTTTTTTGGCAAGGGATAGGAGTCTGTTGAGTAGGATTCTCGCAAGTGTTTAGCCTGCGGTGGCAAGAAGGGAGTGTCCGCTGTAGCTGCCACAGTCCAACTTGTCCCCTTTCTTGAAGATGGTGAAAAATTATGGCGTCTTTCAGTTCGCTGGGAAGATCTTCATGACTTCATCATTCCAAATCCTGACCATAAGGGAGTGCAGGGGATCTATTAGGAATTATCCTCCACCTCCACACACACACACATACACACATACACACTGTCCTCTTCTGGGAGAAGTTCTCTAAGGGGCTAACAAAAAAAATAACTGTCTTACTGGTCAAAGACCTTTATAAAACACACAGAAAATAGAATATGGAAACACAGTATTTATTTTGTTGCTGTGTCTCTAGGACGTTCCAGATCCTCAGACAAACACCGATAGCCATCTTCCTGGTCAATAACCTTTATAAAAACCCTAACCCTTTATACAACATAGCTACATAAAAGAGAAAATAATATCTGTTACAATTATTGTATATCGTTGTTGTGTCTCTAGGGTCTTCCAGATCCTCAGACGGTATCTTCCAGTATTCAGCAGATGTGGGCGTTAACAGAGGTCATGCAGACCAACCAGACCACTGCTTCCATAGGACGCTTCGATGTAAGACGTGTTCTTACTGTTCATTTAAACGTGGAGTCAAACGCAAATCACTTTTCCTGGGGTAGTGGGACAGAAAGATCTAGAAAGTAAAGATGGGTCTGTATGCTACAACACCTTTTATCGGTTAACAATGTTTCAATCCAAACTAATCTGCATTAATGTCCTGGACCCAAGTCTTTGTCAGTTGGTATCGATTCCATTTTGTTTTCAGCTCATTTATGGTCAACTCATTTCATTTTCATGCTTGTGTGTTTCTGGGCAGGTTGATGGCTGCTACGATATCAACTTGCTGTCCTTCACTTAACAAGGAATTGACTGGAGGTTAATTTTACATGGAGCCATCTATGGTGTTGCTGGTAAAATGTGAAGATCACCATTGCTCTCCCAAAGTGTATTTGATTAATTGCCTGTTATATTTAAGTTTTATGAAAAGTATATTTATTTGTGAAAAACTAAACTTTGAATAGTTTGTTTTTTGTTTTGTTTATTTTTTAACAACTTGCCCACCTTTGCCACTCACTCATGATTGTAACGTTGTTTAGTATAGAAGTCCAACAGAAGAGAGATGCATGTTGGCCTTCAGCCAGATGAGGGCAGTAGTGAGCGCTAAGGAGACGCTGTGAACTAACTATCTGAGATGTGGATATAGCATGCTGGCTGCTGTTGTTGGTGGTTTGCCGTCTCCAACTCTCTTATTGTAAGTTATTCGTGAATAATACGAATGTCTAATTACCCTTCAATGCAACACATAATTTCCATCAACATTGTACTGAAGAATGAGGTGAAGGAATTGATATGCTATACTTATTCATGGACGCCCAACCTTTTGACGTAACATATTATGGGCCTTACAAGAAGACATCATAAAGGCTCATATAGAAAGTCATTCATTCAACAGATGGGTTCTGTTATTATATTCAAATGATATTCCTGTATCCTACAAGCAATCGTATGTACGTAGATTAACCAGCCGTTTGGGTGCAGACCATTTGGTCAGTTTTTTACAGAACGAATGAAATAAATGTATATTGAAAAGGAACGTTCGAAAGATTGTCTCTTGTTGTGCTCCAATCGGAATCCCCCCCACCAGGGGTCAGCGAGGAGAGAGAAAGAGCCAGAGGGATTTCCTCCAGAAATGGCACGCTATTCCCTACATAGTGCACTACTTTTGACCAGAGAACTATGGGTTCCCTATAGGGCTCTGGTCTAAAGTAGTGCACTACGTAGGGAATAGAGTGCCATTTGTGACGCAGGCGTAGACTGATGTAGTGCTTGACTTTTATCTCGTAATATACTGCAGTACACATCTCTCTCCCAACTCCTGGTAATATATCAAGTAGAAAGCTCTCTCTCTCTCCTCTGTTTTTTATTTTATTTTATTTTTTTATACTGATGACCTTTAGAGAAAGTGCCAATCTACTGAAGGGTGGGTAGACGACGTCCCAATTGGCTCCTTATGTAGTGCACTACATTTAACCAGAGCCCATACACTTATCTTTCCAGGGCGTTTCAGTGCCAGTATCTATGAAATATTGGAGATCCCCTCCTCTGCAGTCTGTCTGTCCTGGATGTACGTGGATAGTATGTGGACAACTGCTCGTCGAACATCTCATTCCAAAACCATGGGCATTAATATGGAGTTTTCCCCCCCCCCCCCTTTGCTGCTATAACAGCCTCCACTCTTCTGGGAAGGCTTTCCACTAGATGTTGGAACATTGTCATGCTGAAATAGGAAAGGACCACAAAGTTGGAAGCACAGAATCATCTAGAATGTCATTGTATGCTGTAGTGTTAAGATTTCCCTTCACTGGAACTAAGGGGCCTAGCCCGAATCATGAAAACAGCCCCAGACCATTATTCCTCCTCCACCAAACTTTACAGTTGGCACTATGCATTCGGATAGGTAGCGTTCTCCTGGCATCCGCCAAACCCAGATTCGTCCTTTGGAGTATGCGTTTCCATTGCTCCAGAGTTCAATAGTGGCGAGCTTTACACCACTCCAGCCGACGCTTGGCATTGCGCATGGTGATCTTAGGCTTGTGTGCGGCTGCTCAGCCATGGAAACCCATTTCATGAAGCTCCCTACGAACAGTTCTTGTGCTAATGTTGTTTCCAGAGGCAGTTTGGAACTTGGTAGTGTTGCAACCGAGAACAGAGGACTTTTACGCGCTTCAGCACTCGCCGGTCCCGTTCTGTGAGCTTGTGTGGCCTAAAGTGGAGGCTGCTGAGGGAGGACGGCTCATACTAATGGCTGGAACGGAGCTAATGGAATGGCAGCAAACACATGGAAACCATGTGTTTGATGTATTTAATACTATTCCACTGATTCCGCTTCAGCCATTACTAGGAGCCCGTCCTCCCCAAATAAGGTGCCACCCACTTCGCGGCTAATAACAGCGCTTACAGTCGACCGGGGCAGCTCTAGCAGGGTAGAAATTTGATGAACTGACTTGTTGGAAAGGTGGCATCCTATAATGGTGCCACTTTAAGTCACTGAGCTCTTCAGTATGGGCCATTCTACTGTCACTGTTTGTCTATGGAGATTGCATGTCTGTGTGCTCAATTTTATACACCTTTCAGCAACGGGTGTGGCTGAAATAGCCGAATCCACTAATTTGAAGGGGTGTCTACATACTTTTGTAGACATAGTGTATTGCAGTGTCATTGATTACTGTATTATCCTTGCCTAGGCTAGGGGACATCAATTATCTTCGTGACCATGACAAATGGGTCTGTTTAACAAATTAAATTAGAAATTTGTCCAAGACTGACCAAGACCATGCACTCATCCTCCTGTGACAAATCACATCTGAATCCAGTTCCTCGTGTTCACCTGACCCATTCTGCATAAAGAAAAAGAAAAAAAAGCATGCCAGCTGGGCCTAAGGAAGACCGAGAGAGAGAATTTATTTATGGATAAATAAATACAATTTCCCCAGGGCCCCATAGGGCTCTGATCAAAAGTAATGTACTATATTAGGAATATGGCGCAATTTGCGAAGCACCCCTGATAAGTTATTCGAGTGGAATTGATGTACTTCCTGGATAGCTTGGATAGCATTAGAGTGTATGAGTCCTTCTCCCTGTGCAGTAAGTGCCTGAGATAGACGGGCTCCTCCTCTCCTCACGCTGCAGTAAATTACAGTAATGAATCACCCATTCCGTTTCCCAAATTGCACCATAATCCCGTTTATAGTGTACTGCTTTTGACTACGGTCTATAGGGATCTAGTCAAAAGTAGTGCATTATGTAGGCAGTACGGTACCGTTTGGGACACAGCCCCAGGATTCTCTTATCTATCCCTGGAGGTGTATTGATCCCTGTAAGGACTGGTCTGACACACACAAAAGGACCTGTCGAACCTGCAGTGGTGGAAAAAGTATCCAATTGTCATACTTGAGTAAAAGCAAAGAAACCTTATGTCACGCCCTGGCTCTAGGGACTCTTTTAAGTTGAGCCAGGGTGTGTAGAGTTTATGTTTTGTATATCTATGTTGGCCAGAGTGGTTCTCAATCAGAGGCAACGAGTATCAGCTGTTGCTGGTTGTCTCTGATTGGGAACCATATTTAGTCAGGTGGTTTTCCCACAGTGTTTGTGGGATCTTGTTCCGTGTTGGTTTGTGTTTTGCACCTGTGGACGTCACGTATCGATTTGTTGTTTTGTTCGTGTATAATTTAATAAATAAGTATGTTCACCTTCCACGCTGCGCCTTGGTCCTCTATATCCGATGATCGTGAAACCTTAATAGAAAATGACTCAAGTAAAAGTGAAAGTCACCCAACAAAATACTAGAATACTAAAAAGTTAAAAATATTTGGTTTTAAATATACTTAACTCTCAAAAGTAAATGTAATTGCTCAAATATACTTAAGAATTAAAAGGAAAAGTACACATAATTTCTCATTCTTTATATTAAGCAAACCAGACGGCATCATTTGCTCGTTTTTTTAATTTACGGATAGCCAGGGGCACACTCCAACACGCAGACATTATTTACAAATGAAGCATTTCTGTTTAGTGAGTCCGTAAGATCAGAGGCAGTAGGGATGACCAGGAATGTTCTCTTGATAAGTGCGTAAATTGGACCATTTTCCTGTCCTGCTAAGCATTCAACATGTAACTAGTACTTTTGGGTGTCAGGGAAAATGTATGGAGTAAAAAGTACATTATTTTCTTTAGGAAGGTATTGGATTAAAAGTAAAAGTTGTCAAAAATATAAATAGTAAAGTAGAGTACAGATTCCCCAAAATACTACTTAAGTAGTACTTTAAAGTATATTTACTTAAGTAGTTTACACAAGTGAGGAGGTAGCATATGATTCTCTAATAACACCATCTGAACAGCCTGGTCCGAGATCAGTTTGTACTATAGCCAATGAAGGTCGTTGTCACGTTGACCAGAAAACATCATTTGGCCTGACTGGCTATGAAGAAAACAAAGAGAGATTTGGAGAGGCAACCAGGGTTACAAAGCAGGGACTGATAATATATTTACATTTTAGTCATTTAGCAGACGCTCTTATCCAGAGCGACTTACAGGAGCAGTTAGGGATAAGACCTGGTAACCTAGAAATACCCAACTTTGTGGAAGAAGTACGTAGCACATTTCCTGATAACACCATTTGCCCTGGCTGTTGAAAAGAGAACAGAGTGAAGAACAGTATTTGGAGAGGGAGTTATTACCACTCTCCAAAGCCCCAAATACATTGGTCTAGGAACCCCAGTTTACTTCAGTATTTGGTTCTTTACAGGTTATCTAAACCTGATTTGAATTAGCGAAAACATGTATTTGTAGCCTTTTCCTGCAGTCAAATGATCAAAAGCGCCCTCTTGTGGTCTCATGCGTAGAATGTTATTCATATTTTTCATAATTTCATTTACGTTTTAGTCATTTAGCAGACGCTCTTATCCAGAGCGACTTACAGTTTAGTGAGTGCATACATTTTTCAGACTGGCCCCCCGTGGGAATCGAACCCACAACCCTGGCGTTACAGGCGCCAATGCTCTACCAACTGAGCTACAGGAGGCATTTATATGCCAAAAATCCGGTGTTTCTATGTCAAACGGTTTTGTTATATTTCAGTCTTCTGTGATGTATATAAAGTGTAATATTGGGATGCAAACTCAAAATGTAATACATTTCAACTCTATATCTGACATGGTACAGGTGATTTCATTTTTCTTAAACCCATAACCATGTGTATACTTTTGTTTCAAAGTAGATTTGTTTAAGACTACCAAGAAACACTCTGTGTGACCCTGATTTGGCCCACTGCAGTAAATGGTTAAACCCTGGTAAAAGCAGAGTTTGGGTTTGAAAAGGAACATTGGAGCAGGAAGTATATGATACAGTGGGGAGAACAAGTATTTGATACACTGCCGATTTTGCAGGTTTTCCTACTTACAAAGCATGTAGAGGTCTGTAATTTTTATGATAGGTACACTTCAACTGTGAGAGACGGACTCTAAAACAAAAATCCAGAAAATCACATTGTATGATTTTTAAGTAATTAATTTGCATTTTATTGCATGACATAAGTATTTGATCACCTACCAACCAGTAAGAATTCCGTCTCTCACAGACCTGTTCGTTTTTCTTTAAGAAGCCCTCATTTTCTCCACTCATTACCTGTATTAACTGCACCTGTTTGAAGTCGTTACCTGTATAAAAGACACCTTTCCACACACTCAATCAAACAGACTCCAACCTCTCCACAATGGCCAAGACCAGAGAGCTGTGTAAGGACATCAGGGATAAAATTGTAGACCTGCACAAGACTGCGATGGTCTACAGGACAATAGGCAAGCAGCTTGGTGAGAAGGCAACAACTGTTGGCGCAATTATTAGAAAATTGAAGTTTAAGATGACGGTCAATCACCCTCGGTCTGGGGCTCCATGCAAGATCTCACCTCGTGGGGCATCAATGATCATGAGGAACGTGAGGGATCAGCCCAGAACTACAGGGCAGGACCTGGTCAATGACCTGAAGAGAGCTGGGACCACAGTCTCAAAGAAAACCATTAGTAACACACTACGC